TGGTCTACAAGGGTGGGGAAGAGGATTCCAATCACAGGGAAGGGCATGTGTGAAGTCCTTGGCGTGGGAAAGAGCGTGGCATGTTTAAAGAATTACAATGAGACCAGTGCAGTCTGGAGCACCGTGTGCGGCTCAGTGTAGGCTGGGCACATGATCAGGGCCAGTCACATAAAGCCTTGTGCACTGCCTTAGGGTCTTGAACTTTAGTCTAAAAGTAAGGAGAAGCCACTGAAGGTTTTTGAGGAGGTGGTGAACTCACCAGATTTGCATTTTCTAAGTCTTCTTGAGCTGAAATGGAGAAATAGTAGGCCACTTGGAGTCCAGGCAAGAAATGCTGGTGGTCTGAATGAGGTGTAGCAGAGAGAATGAAGCAGGAAGGATGGATTTGCTATGTTTGGCAGGTAGACTGGGCAGAAATTAATAACTGGATGTAAAGGGGAAAAGGAGGGGAGAAGTAAAAACAGTGACTCCCAGCTTACTGGCTTGGGCAATCAGGTACCCAAATCCTTCCAGAATCCTTCTTGGCCAACCATGGCATGAGCAAGGGGAAAAGGTACAGTCAGTACTCCCCTAAGGTCTACAGCATGGGAATGGCAGATACATAATAAATACCAGTTTGAACCTTTCATCTCCTGTGTACCATCTTTCCCCCAGTTGGCATGAGACTGTATGGAATGCAAAAAGCCTCTTGTTATTGGCCTGGATGAAATATGAACAGTGAAGTAAGAATTCTGCAGATTTTATTTAAAAAGCCCACGGGTTGATGATGGAGATCAATGGCCTATTCCAGAGTACATCCTCTTTATGTTCTGAGCCAGACAACTCAGCTTTTGGATTACCCACCATTTTGCACAAATGTGTCATTCTTGATTGCCTTCTTTGTGCTCAGAATTTTACTTGATGTCCTACCTACACCACCTAATTTAACCCACACAGCACCATGAAGTGAGTATGATTAACAGTCTAAATGAGGATACTAAGGCTCTGAAAAGCAAACTGACCAATCCCAGTCCATGCTCCTAGTGAATGAATGAGTTAATATTCCAACCCAGCCTGTCTGACTTTAAAACCCACGTTCTTCTCCTCATTAGCCCAAAGATGGCATTTCTGAGGTTTAACCTCAGCTATGATATCAAGAAATGATGAAATAAATAGAAAAGAAAAAATAAAAAAAATGAAAGCATGAAATAAATGTGTCAGTCAAGAACTTGTCGATATGCAGTCATGTGTTACTTAAGGGCAGGGATATAGTCTGAGAAATGTGTTAGTAGGTGATGTCATCATTGTGTGAACACCATAGAGTGTATTTACACAAACCTAAGTGGTGTATACTTAGGCTATCTGGTCTAGCCTCTTGCTCCTAGGCTACAAACCTGTAGGGCATGTTACTGTACTGAATACTGACAGTTGTAACACAATGGTATTTGTATATCTAAACATAGAAAACGTACGGCAAAAATATGATATTACTGTATAATCTTATGGGACCACCATCTTATATGTGTCTTTTGTCTAAAGAAATGTGATGCATGACTGTAGTTACCCTCTCCCCAAAACCACCCACAAGAAATCACACTCGTCAACATATCCCAGTAATAAAATTTCTGAGATTAAGAATAGGATTTGCATGTAAGCTTCAGGTGATGTTACAACTTTGCATCCTGTAGTATTCTCTCCACTTTCTCCCATCCTCTCCTCCTCTCTGCCCCCTCTCCCCACCACTCCTTCACCAACAATATGTTTTCCTGTCAAAACACACTTGGTTGCATGCAGTGCAACCAAAATTGCTGCTATTAGTTTAATTGAGACAGGGTGATTATAAATAAATTACATGCAGTGCTACCAAAATTGCTGCTATTAGTCTAAATCGAGACAGGGCGATCAGTCTTCACCAAGTGTAGCTTAATTCTGAATGCCCTCTACGTGGGTGACCACAGAGGATCTGTGGTCATCTGGCAGCCCAACAGATGCAAGGCCAAATCCCCAAGAGGCTGGGCTTTAAGGCCATAGACTCTCTGACCACAGAGCAAAAGTCCGTGCAATCCAGTTGGTGGGGGCCCGTTTGCAGGCAGATAATGAATGTTTCAGAAGCTTGGAGCTGGAAAGGACCATGGTTAGAAACCCTCCCACATGGAAAATCTGCCCAGTAAATTGTATATGTGTACATTCATGTGTCTCAATGCACTTACTTATCTTCTGCCACTTCCCCAAAATGATCTGAGATGGATTTTTAATATTATTTTGCTTTTTTTTCTAATTATAAAAGAAACTCATGCTGAAAGTAGAACATTCCAAAAGCATAAGTAGTATATAGAGGAATAAAACAGTTACTGTTATCTATATTTTCCACTTCCTAGAGGTAGCAGCTATTAGAGTTTGGTGCATTTCTTCCATCATTCCATTCATATATTTATAGATTTCCTCTAACATAGTTGATGCCTACTGGCTATATAATGTTATATTAAGCTGTTAATTTTCATAAGTGGAAAAAATTTTAAGCCACCTAAACAAGGCATGTTAAAGTTAAACAATAAAGCTGAATAGGGGCGAGAAATGGTCATGGACATCTCATTCCTGGAGGCAGCACGTTGAAGTGGAAATTTACTGGTTAAAGGAATTCTTTTGGCTCCCTGGTTTCCTGCTTCAACCCTCAAATCTCACCTCGCCAGCCTGGGTGTGGCTATACAATCCCAATGGAGGTGCTGGTTCTGCACTTCAAGGCTTTTGGACAAATAGCCCTATGGGCTTCATTTTTGTCATTTCTAGATCAAAATGGAGAAGTAGATGGTCTCTGTGGTGCCTTACAGGTTCAAAAGTCTACATTTTATACTTAGAGCCTGGAGAAAGCAATTAACTACTGACTGTTAAATAAGACTGGCAGGTGAGGATGACTGTAACAGTCAAACCTTAATGTTTGACTAATACTAGAGTTTTATTTTGAATTCTAAGTTTGGAGATATGGATAAATAAGTATTCTTCATTTAGTCCAGTAGACAGGTTTTTAAAAGGGTGTCTTAGTGCTGCTTGGAAATCAATTCATGGTGCCCAATTTTCTTACCATATCATCTCAAACAAACTTACCTTCACCCAGTAAAATTGAGACCCAGCAGTAGCTTTAATTTCTCAGATTCCTAAGGTTTATTATCTATAATTAATGATAAAACCATTCAGTGCTCTAAGGAAAACAGAGTTAAACTTTGAAAATAGAGTTAAACTTTGTAATAACCATGGCATGGAATCTTCTGTAAACTGAAGAATCAATTTATCTAGAAGTTAGCTTTGGAATACAAAAAGTGTAATAATTTTACTTTACTTTTCCAATGTGAAACATTTGGATTTTCTGTTTTTCAAAATATATTCTAGGAAGCAAACTAAAAGACTCTTTTCCTCCCTCTCTTCCTTTCTTCTTTCTTTCAAAAAGTGTTTGTAGTTCCTTCTGTGTGCCAGACTCTATGCTACAGAATCTCAGATGAAATTACATTATATATATTGACCTCTGTTTCTTTGCAATTACTGGTAGACCCTGTTTAAAAATCAAAAAACAGGCCAGGCGAGGTGGCTTATGACTGTAATCCTAGCACTCTGGGAGGCCGAGACGGGAGGATCGCTTGACGTCAGGAGTTCGAAACCAGCACCAGTGAGACCCCTTCTCTACCAAAAATAGAAAAGATTAGCCAGGTACAGTGGCATGCACCTGTAGTCTGAGGTACTTGGGAGGCTGAGGCCGGAGGATCTCTTGAGCCCAGGTGTTTAAGGTTGCAGTGAGCTATAAGGATGCCACTGCAATCTAGCCTAGGCAACAGAGACAGAGTCTGTTTCAAAATAAATAGATAATAAAAAAACAAAAATCAAAAACTCAACCAATTAACCAAACAAAACAAAAAGCAGTATCTAAAATTCAGGAAATAGTTCTCTTTTTAAAAGTCTCCTTTAAATATTGCTCTCCATAATACAAGCCTTTGTTTGGATTCATGAACTCCTTGGTTTGGAGGGTTGGTAGAGCAGGGAAACTGCAAGCTGCGGTGGTGGGTGGCATGGCTTATTGGGAAAGGCTTGGAGGAAACAGAACAGAGCTCTACTGTGATGACGCCAGTCTTTTGTCTTGCAATCAACTGTTTTGGAAAATGCTCTTTTAATCAATGGGGATCACTGCTGAATCAGGGAGGTCCCCCCACCCCCACCCCAAACACTCAAAGACACACTTAGCCTCTTTTTACCTGGAAGTGTGCTGCTTACAAATCCTTGGGAAAAGGCTGTCTGCAAGTCAGCCACAGAGGAGAAACATTATCATCCTTTTTAGATCCCAAGAGACAGATTTCTCAGTTAGTTGAGCCCCTGCTGTGGTATAAAGGTCAGCAATTACTGACATGTGGTCCAAAAAGCATGGAACTGGGTGATCCAAGTCCTGGCCTCATCTTCACTATGATTGCAATTATCTGACTCACTGTTTCTTTTGGGCAGGAGGGGCTGATCATACTGGTCTACCTTACAAGTTTTTTGTGAGAGTTATAAATAAATTAAGTCCCTAGCACACATAGACTGGCACATAGTAGGCACTCAATAAATGGAAATTTAAAAAAATTGCAATAGCAGTAAGCATGTACCTGTTTGTCTACCAAAAAGTTAGGAGGCAGTGCTAGACACACACCATTCATTGGTCAGAAGTTAAATGGATATTGTATATCTTCATCATAGACATTCATCTTACAACTTTGCCTAATTTAGCAAGTTTATAAGTTAGATGTGCTGTAGATGAGATAGATTTCTTTAAGACTAGGGTGTACCTGTGCATCGTTTGCACATTGGAAGCCCACAGCAGGGTGGCTCATGCTGAACTGAAGGCGGCACTTCGGTTCACGATGTGAGACATGCATTGGCTCATGCACTGAGGAAAGAGACATGAACTGTCATAGCCTGAGAGTCCCCGCTCAAGGCATTCATAAGGGTGCCAGGCCTTTCTCAGAAGCCTTGAGGAATCAGGTGTCTCTTTTCCTTTTTAGGGTTTTACAGATCCTGTGTACCGAAGAAGACGGAAGCAGTTTGCTGACATTGCCTACAACTACCGCCAGTAAGTCTGCCGTGTTTGTCCGGGGGGAGGGGGCAGTGGAAAGAAGAGCGCACCCCTGACCTGCCTCTCCCTTGCCTTCTACCAGCCGAGGCTGGAAAACACAGATGTGGAGAGTCCTGCATTCTCTGCGCACGCGCGCACGCGTTCGTGTGTGTGTGTGTGTGTGTGTGTGTGTGTGTATAAGCCCCGCCCCCCCTTGATAACATGTGTGTAAAAATTGCCGTTAGACAAAACAAAATTACCCACTGTGCGGGGGCCCTGCTCTCTCCCCAGCTTTGTTGTCTAATTATGCAGTGGCGTCTGAAGTAATTATAAAAGGCCTCAGTCCTGAATAAAACAGCCTCTGCTCTTCTCCACATTAAACAGGGAAGAAGGAAAAAGAGAATCATTTACATTCAAGAAGGAGCTGGCTGCTTCACTGAAATAATGAATCATTTGAGATCTCAGGCCAGCCAAGCTTCAGCGTTCTACTTTTATCTGGTCTGACCCAGTTGTGAAGGGCAATTTTAGGATGGGTTCGGTTTTTTTTCTGTCTGGGATTCTATGCTCCTCCCTTATCCTACTTTAGCCAAAAGAAAATGCAAATATCGAATATGTTGTTTGGAAAGAGAATAGTTTCGCTGTTTGGAGTGCTCAGGGACTACAGAAATGCTACCATGGGAAACTTAGTGTTTTGGGGACAGGGCCACTCCTGAGTTAAAGAAGTAAGAAAGACAAGCACAAGAAGAAACTTCAAAGTTGTTCAGCACACCGCTTCAACAGTTTTGATAGACTCTCAGGCCTCTGGTATACTGAATACCAAGTGACCTTCAACATGAAGACTTCCACAGAAATTGAGAAAATTCTCTTCTCTGAATGACTCCTGGTATTGGAAGGATCCAAAACCATGCTACCTTTGGACAGATCTAGGTCAGTCTGAACCTTGGCTTGGGCCAAGCAGGGATGACTGAAAATGGTGACCCCTGTCCCCACCTTTGCCCCCAGCATGGACAGGTAGACACCATCAAATTAGGTATAGGCAAGAGTCCTTCTTCTGATAGTCGATAATAACAGATCATATGTATTATGTCCTTGCTGTGTGCCTAGGGCTCTGCTAGATGCTTTGCATGTATTATTTTGTTTAGTCTTGATAACATCTCCTCTTTTTTTAAACTAAAGCTTAAAAAAGTTAAGGAACTCACCAAGGTCCTACACCTCCAAAGTTATTCTCAGCCACATCCCTGAGTGTCTGGGGACTCTGGGGCTGGAGACTGCACTTCTCTGTACATCAAGGAGGAGGTGTGTGGGGGCACATTCCCTCTCTTCTGGGCTGTTGATATTCCAGGGTATAAATGATCTTCTTCACCCTCCTTTCCATAAAAATGTTAAATCTAATGAAGAGTGGAATTGATGGAATAACTCACAATTCCTGGATGGTACTCAGTTAACTTGGTTATGAAATCCATCCATAGATGGCTGGGCTTTCAGAAAGACATTAAAGATCTTCTAGTCGACTTCCTACCTTTGATAGACCAATCCCAGATGGCTAAATGATGTGCCCAAGGTCATGTCACTAGTTAAGGGCTGAACTTGTCCTCAAACTCAAAGCCTATTTCAGGCCTCAATTTATCTCATCTCTTACAAGCTTTTAATGCTGTTTACCATCCCTTCCTTTGAAATTGCCTCTCACCTTGGCATCTGGTACAGTTGATCCTCATGATTCACACATTCTGTGTTTGTGAATTTTCCTACTTGCTTAAATGTGTTTGTGATCCCCAAATCAGTACTCACTGTCTACTTTCACCATCATTACAGGACCTGCAAAGAGCAGGAAACATTTGGTTCTACTGAGGCTAACGTCTCTAGCTGAGGTCGAACAAGGCAACACTCTGCCTTCCTGTTTGCACTCTCATACTATAAACATACATCCTTTATGCAGCCTATTTAGTGTCATGTTTTCACATTCGTGTGTGTGTGTGTGTGTGTATGTGTGTATGTATTTTGTTTTTTTTTTTATGGTGATTTTGCTTTCTAAAATTTGCCCAAGTCCTCCACCAAGCTAGGAAGCTGCAGAGTTAGAATTCAGGCTCTCCCGCCTTTTCCCAGGAAAGCAGGGGCCCTGGGGCACCAACATATCTAGGTCAGGATGAGCTGCCCCGGAGGTATACAAGGGGCATAGGGCTGTCACTGTCCCAGACTTCAGAGAGTGGTGCTGTGCAGATAAACCTGCAGGAAAGTGCAGTCAGAGCCTCAAACAGGTACGTGCAGGCTGAAAAGATGACTCCAAAGTGAAGCAGGGAGCCCTCAGCTCCTCCGATCTTTACTCAGGTGTCATCTTCTCAGCCAGATGCTCTCCACACACTGTTGTGAAACCGAAACCCTCCCTGATACTCCCTATACCTTTGCCCTCCTGCCCCACCCTCTTTTCCCTCCACAGCACTTTCTACCACCTAAGCGAATCATGCCGGCTTTCTGTCTCCCCTCACTAGAAACGTCAACTCCGTGAGGGCAGGAGTTGTTGACTATTTTATCCCCTGCTGTACAGAGCACGCTGGGTGCTCAGTGAATATTTGTTGAATGAATGAATGAATCCAAGAGAACATATAAGAGTGAAGAGTCAAAGTGGTGAATTGGAAGCAGAGCCAGGAATTGTGTCTAGAACCATCTAAAAGGCAGCTGCAGCAGTTTTTGATTGTACTGGGGTGAGGATGGGACTCTTAAGTTTTGTCTAGGAATAGATGAAATGGATCATAGAAGTTGTATCTTTCAGCTGCAAGTCAGTTCAGACAAAAAGGGGGATTTCATGGCTCCTATAAATGAAGCGTTTAAGGGAGGTGGTTTAGGCACAGGCAGCTCCAGGTCTCCCCTTGTTTGACTTTAGTGTCTTCTGCATTGGCCTTGCCCTCAGACATTGGCCTCATCTTTCTTGGAGAGGGACCCGGCATCTCTAGGCTGATACCTCAACTCAATTAGAGATTCTGTCCTCCTCCAAGAAAGTTGGCCAGAGTTCTGTCATTGAGTCTCACTGCTCTGATTGGGTGATGGGCCCTTCTCTCAGGCAGTCACTGGGCCCAGGGGACTGAAACACTCCAGTTAGCATAATCTGGTCATATGCCCCCCTCTGAAGGTAGGTATTTCTTCTCCTTCTCACAGACTGAGAGGGGAGAAAGGTGCTTTCCAGGAAGAAGAGGGAACAGATGTTAGGTCCCTAGAACAGCAAATGTCAACCAGAGGGACTTCTTGGTCCAGGATGTTACCATCTCTTAATCTTTTCTGCAGAAAGAGCATATACCTTTCTCTTTTAAATGAGCATTAGTAATGATGATAATGATCAATTATCCAGTGATGATTATTTGTCAGTTCCAATGGGAAGAACTTTATATGTAGTATTTCTCTTAATTTTATCCACACCTTACAAATAGTTACTTATTATTAGCTCATGTAACAGCTGCACAGACTGAGGCTCAGAGAGGCTTACTAAATTGCCAGGGATCACTCAGCTGGTGAGTGGCAGGACCAAGCATTGAGCAGTCGCTCTCTGCTCTTCTCTTCCCTCAGTGCTTAGCCCTGAAACAGTGCTGCCTTCTTAGGCAAGGACTGACTTGACATGTCTTTCACTGTCATCCCTTTTGGCTGCCACAAGGCCCTCTGAGCTTGCCCTGCTTTCAGTTCTTAAGGAAAAGTCTGTCTTTTCTCTCTGATCCCTGCCACCTTTCCGTAGAAAATAACAAAGAGTTTGCTTTAGTGTCCTTGGATGAGCTACAACTCTGAAAGGACAGGAGAGCCCTAGTTTTGGAGCCTGATGATGATCTGTGATTCTGTGGTAAACAGTTTCACTTTGTCCCAGACTCTGTGTCCCCTGCGAGGGAAACAGACCTCCAGCCCAGGGAATAGTCACTGATCTTTGAAGTCAGGCTTTGTTTGGTTTTCATTTGTTTTTGCCGTTCAGGGCACGGCTCATTCTTACGTGGTTTACAAAAGGACTTTTCAAACGAATGGCTATAAAACTGTAGTTTGCATCAGAGTCACCTGGGGAACTTATTAGAATCCAGGTACCTGGGCCTTCCCTTTTGCCAAAGATTCAGGATCTATGAGGCAGGGTCCGGGATAGGTACTTTAACAAGCTTGGTGTGAGTTAGCTCCATGTAGGTAAGGTATAAGGTATCATAATATTGGATAGTTTAGTGTGTATTTATTTATCGGTTCCCTCCTTGTTCCAATATTTATTTATTACCTTTGATCTAGAACGTATTTATTTATTTATTTATTTTTTTATTTTTTTTTTTTTTGAGACAGAGTCTCACTTTGTTGCCCAGGCTAGAGTGAGTGCCGTGGCGTCAGCCTAGCTCACAGCAACCTCAATCTCCTGGGCTCAGCGATCCTACTGCCTCAGCCTCCCGAGTAGCTGGGACTACAGGCATGCGCCACCATGCCCGGCTAATTTTTTGTATATATATTTTTAGTTGGTCAATTAATTTCTTTCTATTTTTGGTAGAGACGGGGTCTCGCTCAGGCTGGTTTCGAACTCCTGACCTTGAGCGATCCGCCCGCCTCGGCCTCCCAAAGTGCTAGGATTACAGGCGTGAGCCACCGCGCCCGGCCTAGAACGTATTTATTTTTTAATTGACAAATAAAAGTTATATGTATTTATGGTATACAACATGATATTTTGATATATGTATATATTGTGGAATCTTAGCAGGTATTTAAATACCTTTATAACTTCCCAGGAGCAGAAATGTCAAATCCAATAAGTGCATGCCCACTAAACAAAGGGATCTCAAACTCATGGACCACATAATAAGCCCAGTTTAGCCCACAGGTATAACATAATTGCTTTAGTTGAAATAATACAAAGCACTATGTTGCTTTCACTGAACTTAGATGTCTTTGTTTAGAAAGAGAATGCATTCTTCTTTAATTGTCTCAGCCCTCACTCTCCCTGCCTTATGCCTGTTACTGTATGCCTTTATGTTACCTGCCTGGCCCCTGAAGGTAAGTGAATTTCCACAGTAGGTAAACAACTGGAGAGTTAGAAGACAGAAAAGCCAAGTGATTTCCCAAAGTAAGAGCAAATCCTCAATGTAGTTGTAAGGCTTGTAGCATTGCTTAACCAAATCGCTCTTTCCACAACAGCGTTCCCTGTCTCAAGAAGCGAAATTGTCCTCTGTCAAATAACTTCTGAAATCCACTGTAGTCAGTGGTGGCAGCTCACAGACTCTGGACGCCCACTCCCTCTGTTAGCCTTGCCTGTGTCCTCCGCTCTGCCCCTGCCCTGCTGGGGACACAAATTTTATGCTTGTGTTCTAGTGGGCAGCCCATCCCTCGAGTGGAATACACGGAGGAAGAAAAGAAGACATGGGGCACAGTGTTCAGGACTCTGAAGTCTTTGTACAAAACCCACGCTTGCTACGAGCACAATCACATTTTTCCACTTCTGGAAAAGTACTGTGGCTTCCACGAAGATAACATTCCCCAGCTGGAAGACGTCTCTCAATTCCTGCAGTGTAAGTCCACATCAGGGCCAACGGCCCAGCGGGAAGTAGGGGAGGGCTAGGGCAGAGGAAAGGGAAGAGGAAAGAACATACACAGAGGTGAGTATGGGCATGTGTGCTTGTGGGATGTGGGTAGGTTGAGTCTCCCAGAAAGAAAGGAATTTCACTGTGCTATGCCTTCTCTTTAGCCTCCACTGTTAGTTTACTTTCATCCAAGCAAAGACATCAGGTGTGGATTTGGCTGTATACATAGGAAAAGTATTTTCTTTCACACTTGAAGCTGTTGGTTCCCAGTGAGGGTTCTCCCTGCAGCTCTTTCTGTGTTATGAGCTAACTGCAGTGTGTGACTGTCTAAGAAATGAGTTATTTGTGGGGGCAGAACCAAGAGCCCTGAGCTCTGAGTCTGTGCATCTGGTGCAAATCCTGTCTCTGATCCCCTCTAGCTGGATGAACTTGCCTCAGTTTTGTCATCTGTCAAATGGAGACTGTGTCAACTCTAACTTTTTTCATAGGGAGATTGTGGGCATGAAATAAGATGTTGCAAATGAACGCACCCATCGTAGTGCTGCACACACAGTAGGCACTCTGCGAATTTGGGCTGAATTGGAATCTGAGTAACTCAGGAGGCACATGCACTGTCTGGGAGGTGGGCCTCTGCGCATCATGTGTAGGGGTGATTAATGTTTTCTTTTTTGCCAGGAAGGTGTTAATTCAGCAAAAACAAAACAAAACAATCAACTGAAATTTATTGAACACCTACTATGTGCCAGGTAGAATGAGAAAAAGTAGGGAGACCGACGACAGGTTATAGAAATAAAGAATTTTCTATGCATCAGAGCCATGTGGCAGTGGACAACACCAGGGCAGTTAGCCAGGGAAACGAGGTAGCAGGGAGGGAGGTTGTAGCTGGGATATACTGGGATATATTGGGGGTGGGCTGGATGACCTTTTGGGTCCTTTTCAATTAGAGAGTCTTGCCTTCTCGGACAAAGAAACATGTGAGAATCCAAGCAGAGTGTGCTTTAGCCCAAAGACACACAGAACATAAGGGGAGACCCAAGGGATCCTAAAGATATTCTTTAGCTGATTACCCATGTTGTCATGGCCAATGATGAGAATAATAAAACAGTAACACTACAAGTTGGAAAGTCTTCTAATAGTGATTAAGAGAACAAGCTCTAAAGCCACACTCCCTGTGGTTGTGACTGTGGACCAGAGCTTTAACCTCTCTGTGTCTCAGCTTCTCATCTGTAAAGTCGGCCTACTAAGAACGTTTATCTCATAGGATTATTGTGAGGTTTAATAGTATACATAAAGTACTTAGAATAGTGTCTGACATATGGCAAGTAATATATAGTGTTAACTATTATTATCATTTTCACCGTCATTATTGTTCTTCTGCCAAGTTTCGAACAAATTGAGAGACAGATGCAGGAACCAGAGAGACAATGATCAAAATGTCAGCTTAAAAAACAAAACAAAAACCTATGTAGAGAATGTGGTATAGATGTGTAGCCAAATGGACTTCCTAATATTTTGCCCCTTGATTAGTAAATTTAGCTGCCAATTTACGGAGCATAGTCCATTGCATAGCCAAGAGCAGAATCTGAGTAGCTCAGGAGACACTTGCGTTGTCTGGTGGTGGGCCTCCCGGCAGCAGACCAGCATGTGCTCCTCTGTGGGCAATCAGGAGAGAGGGCAGTACAGGAAGGGTTAACTTGAGAATATTCATTTCCTCTTCCCAAATGCTACACCCAGACAAATCACTGCTCCTTATGGGGTAGACTGTGTGAGGTGCAGTAAGAAGCAAGAAGGGTTCCTTTCATACTCTTCCCTTCTGGAAAATGGAGTGAAAATTCCCTCTCTACTTTGGAAACAAGAAAAGTAAAGCAATAAGTGTTCTGCCCTCACAAACAGTAGTGAAAGCTAAATTTGTTAGGTGTTTCTAATGTGCGGGTTCTGTGCTAAGCACTTTATAGTTATTAGCTCTTTTAATTAGTGGAATATCCCTAAGAAGTATCTATCCACATTTTGAAGATAGGAAAACTAAGGCTGAGAAGTGTGAATTTACTTGATCTAAATCACACAGCTAGAAAGTAATAGGGCAGAGAGTTGAAGCCAAGTCTGCTTGGCATGTTCCCGGGCAGTTGTGTGTACTTTCTTCCCTGCCTGGAGGTCTTCAGGCCTCTCTGGCTACGCTGTGATGGGCTTTGAGTTTTCTTTTTCCTTTGCTTCCCAGCTTGCACTGGTTTCCGCCTCAGACCTGTGGCCGGCCTGCTTTCCTCTCGGGATTTCTTGGGTGGCCTGGCCTTCCGAGTCTTCCACTGCACACAGTACATCAGACATGGATCCAAGCCCATGTACACACCCGAACCGTGAGTATTGTCCTCTAGCTACCAGTTGCCAGGCACAGCGAGCGTCACCTCTTCCTGCTCCAGGAATGAGGTTTGGGTTCATTGCTGGCTGGTCCACAGGACTAGTTGCCTGTATTGTTTGATGGCAGAAATATGATCATCTACTCTGAGTATTTTCTCTGTCCAAATGGACCAGACTGATTGGAAATTTGGGCATCCTGTGATCCAAGGATTCAGAACTCCCCTGGCAGTGGAAATGAGAGAACCTACTCAAATTCCGAAGTCAGAGATATGAAATTACAAATGGGAACAGGAATAAGGGACAACTAAACTCTCTCAACACCTCCTCAATACACATCTAGATAATTCTAATCTTTCCTTGTCTAGATCGTGTCTTGGCTAGAGGTAGAGAATGGCCAACCACTGTGCTTCTTACTTTGGTGTTTAGCCATCTCCTTCATCAGATAAAACTTACACAATTTAAACAAAACAAATCAGTAGGATATCCCCAAATTATTTTTCCATGGCTACAAAATTCACTGCTACAAATCAGAAAAGACCTGTTTCAAATGGATGTGGCGCCTAAAGTGTTAAATAAATGTAGCTTTTCTTCCCTTACCGTTGTCCCCCTTCAGACTCAGAAAAGAGCAGCACTATTTTGGGGGGTTCTTTTAGTTCCTAGTGGGAATAACTGAGCATATTGTACCTGCCCAGGGAAGTTATCATCAAGGAGGAGACTTGGGATGAGAAGTGTCCAAGACCCACAGCTCACTTAGGTGTGTGGGAGGATGCCCACAGGAAGACTGGCTCTTCTGCCCTGCACCCCACTCGGCATACTCCTAAGACCACTGGCTGATGTGTCTTGTCCCTTAGTTTTCTTTCCCCTTTGTCCTTTTCTCTTCTACTTTGGCTCATCTGACCCGAGCTCTGCATATCCCTTAATCCTGGAAAACAGGTCATAAGTCCATGAATTACTTCCTGTCTTCCTGCCCATTTCTCATGTGGAAAGACTGGGTCTGGCTTAGCTTAGTCTTCCTTCCCCCAATCTCTGTGCTTTCTGTCTTTCAGTGACATCTGCCATGAACTGTTGGGACATGTGCCCTTGTTTTCAGATCGCAGCTTTGCCCAGTTTTCCCAGGTAAGGAATGGATCTCCTTAGCCTTCTAGTTATATGGCTGGGACCTGGATTGCTCAAATGAGTTGAGCCTATGGAGGGGCCCTGGCAACCTCTGCAAGAACGGAAACCAGAGAATTCTATGACCCCACCTGAGATGAGTGTGTTGTTCTGTGAAGGTAGCTGAGTACCCATTCCAGGGACCATGCACGACATGGGTTTGGTTAATTGCGCATCCCCTGACTCATATGTGTGTCATTGAATTTGCCAATTTCACTTGTCCTATCAGATGTAGTTTAAGAGTGTTTTTATCCATGAAAATCTCTTCCTGATCCCCATGCAGGAGTTATTTCACCTGCTTCCAAGTTTTCCTACTACTTCCCCTCAACCTTTTTAAGGCTTTTGCAACTTTCTGCCTTGTCAGGTAGTCATTTGTGTATATGCTTGAATTAAGTAAGATGATATTTGTCAAAAACCAATTCCAATAGCCTGACTTATAGTTGACAAAAAAGGAAGAGCCAAATGTCACATCACCATCATCAAAGCAGCAGCCTAGACTTTGATTCATCTTCCACAGTGGTGAAAAAGCTCAGAACAATGTTTTTGGATGAGTGAGGGAATTCTACTAATGCCAGGCACTGAAAGGCAGCCTAAAGCCATGGCTGGATCGTTGGGCTTGTGGAAAGGTTGCATGAAGACTCTGATGCACCCATAGACCCCAACACTTCCAGTGACCGGCTGTGGGACCCAGAACTCATTGACAGCCACTCTGTGCCTGGATGGATGTCAACCACCTTCCTGCAGTTCTCCTGTGTGTTCTCAGGGTACATGATTAAGACTCATCTAATACTCCTGGAATGTTCCAGTGTGCTGTGGAAGAATAATTACTAAGCTAGAGTCAAGAGATAAAGCATTAGACACTAACTGATGGTATGACCATCAGCAGGTCACCTCCCTTCTCTGTGCCTCAGTTTCCTCCTTTGTAAAAATGAACACAAAGAACTGAGTGATGGTGAAAGGTTTTCTCTGCTCTAACAATCTGTGTTTCTAAAATGTGTGGCCAGGAAAGACTTGACAGAATACTCAGAGTCTATCTGGGTCCTCCTGAAGGCATCTGGCCACCATCACCTTCCTGTGGTCAAGTACCAGGTTGGGACTGAGGGCGAAGGTTGAAGATAGGCAGATCCCAGCTGTTCCAATGACTCTGTTTCTCCCCATTTACAGGAAATTGGCCTTGCCTCCCTGGGTGCCCCTGATGAGTACATTGAGAAACTCGCCACAGTAAGTCCCTTCTCTCCCTGGGTTGATGGTGGGGGTGCCATGGGCTATGGCTCTCAGTTCTCTGAGGGTTTGCTCCTTCCCTGGAACCCAAGTCATTTGGAAAAAAATATCAGAATGTTATTGGTTACATCTGCACAAATGAAACTTCATAATTTTGATTTCTCCTTAATGGTTTGATTTTGAAATCAGCTGCATATAGATGTTTACACATAATTTTAAACGGAGTGTCTTGAAAACACCAAAAGGCTGTAGTAATAACTTTCGAAAGCCCTTGGACACAAAGTGTGTTTATGAAGTAGTCTGGATTCACAGCTTTGAAGGGAGCATTCTTCTGGGGTTTCCCAGCACTCTTCATGCTTCCATCACACTTTGCACTTAGCCAACTCTTGGTTCAACTGGCGACTGGATAAGGTGAGATGCAGGGCCCAGAGAAGTGATAAGAGGTCATTGCTGATTCAGAGAACAAACTTGCACAGGAGCCTACCTCAGCAATTCTGTCCTTGCTCCTAGGATATCTGCTGCCTTCCCCTTCCCTGGAGTGTGTGTGTGTGTGTGTGTGTGTGTGTGTGTGTGTGTGTGTGTGTGGAGAGAGAGAGAGAGAGAGAGAGAGAGAGAGAGAGAGAGAGAGAGAGAGAGAGAGAATGAATGAGAAAGAGAACCAGAAAGATCAGTGGCATGATTCAAAGTTCGAAAGCCCCCAAGCCAGGGAAGCCAATGGTGTAACTCTCAGTCTGAAGCCAAAGGCTTGGGAACAAAGGGGTAAGGGGAGCCTGGTGCAAGTCCTGGGGTCCAAAGGCCAGAGAACTTGGAGTTCTGATGTCCAAGGGCAGGAGAAGAAGGGTATACTGCTCTGAGAGAGAAAGAGAGAGAGGAAGAGAATTTTTGGCTTTCCTCTGTCCTTTTGTTCCATCTAGGACCCCAGCCAGTTGGATGGTGCCTGCCCACATTGAGGGCAGAGCCTCTCCACTCAGTTCACCAGCTCACAAGCCAATCTCCTCCCAAAACACCCTCACAGACACATCCAGAAACAATGCTTTACTAGCTGTCTAGGTATTCTTTATCCAGTCAAGTGACACATAAAATTAGCCATCACAGGTGTGCTCTCAGCTTAACTGTCTATTCCAGATTTATTGGTTTACCGTGGAGTTTGGCCTCTGCAAACAAGGAGACTCCATAAAGGCATATGGTGCTGGGCTCCTCTCGTCCTTTGGTGAATTACAGGTATGACCCTGGAACCAAGAATGGATTTGAAAATGGTGGGTTCAGGAGACCATTTTTGTTCTTTCGGTGTTGTTGAAACCCCATTTACATCCATTGTGAGATGCAACCTAGGGGCTCATTCATGCTCCAGTGATTGGTACCTTAGCAGCTATGATTTGATCCTGGCTGTGGGTGTTCATGGTAGCAATTGAACTGCAAGTGCACAGGTGCCTAGGCAGGAGGGGCCTCCTTATCCCAAGGTCGAACTGCGCATGCAGCCTTGTATGTACAGAAACATATACCAGAAAATGTGGTTGCCTTCCACACTATCTGTGGATCACCTTACTCAGAAGTGGTTGGAATGGATTACTTCTTTCTATCTTGGCTGGAGGTTTTAGATGAGCAATGAAGAGTAGCATCTAGTATATGCAAAATAATGTGGGCTGCATTTGGGCTGGGGTGTAGAGGGCATGAGGGTGTGATGAGAGAGGGTGCACAAAGGACCTGCGGGATGTAGCAAGGACAGGGATCCTGAGTTAACCATGGAAACTTTTCACCTGGGGCCTGCAGTACTGCTTATCAGACAAGCCGCAGCGCTTGCCACTCGAGCTGGAGAAGACAGCCATCCAGAACTACACCGTCACGGAGTTCCAGCCCCTGTATTATGTGGCTGAGAGTTTCAATGATGCCAAGCAGAAAGTGAGGTGAGGTGGTGACCAAGGTGAGCCAGTAGCTCTTTGGGCCTCGTGACGTGGGCTGGTGCCACTCCTCTGTGGTTGGTCAGCCAGGAGAGTGGACTCCCGTGCCCACAGAAACTGTGTAGTGGACAGCGCTTATCTCCCCACTTTCTCCACCCTCGTCCCTTTCCACTGGCTGGTGGGAGGCTGGACGTGCTGACCCCTGCGGACAGCCCTGCCACCTGGACCCTGTTCAGTGCAGCCACCAAGCCTAGTCACTGAACCCTCCCAGGCACAGAATGGCCACCAAAGTTCTCCCCACCAAATCAGAGAAGTCTTGTCATCTGGGAAGCCCTTTCTTCACTTTATTCTCCCATCCTCCCAGACATCTACGTAATTTGTTCTCTTACCTCCTCTGTATCTTCACCCAAATTTAATCTCTGTGTGTCTTTCTCTAACCAACTTACTTAAAATCTCTACCCAGCTCTGCCGCCAGTGCTTCTGTGATTTTTCTCCTTAGTGCTTATTATTAATAACATCTAATATATTATAGAATTTAAGCTCCATGAGGGCAGGGCTTTGTGTTCTTTCTGTTTCCTGCTCTTTCCCCAGCCCCTGGAATGGTGCCTGACACAGAGTAAACACTCAGAAAACAATTGGCGAAAGCGTCAGTCTCAGAGGCAGTTAGTTCAGCGAGAGGCTGAGGAATGGTGCCGGGACCCTCAGTGGCCCAGCCCTGCTGACAGCTTGCTGGGGCAACTCGTCAACCAGGCTCTCGTCCGAGAGGAGAGGAGACAGGCCGGGCAGAGGGTCTACCTGGATGCGTATTCTAACACTCATCATTTGTTACTACTCAAAAAATATATATCTTAGCAGTGATGAGTGATAGACAAAGGACAGACAGGCCTCTGGGAGTCTATGAAGTTGGGTCTGTCAGCTTCCACTGCACTGGGCTTGAGTAATTAACGGTACACTGCTGGCCCACAGGTCTACTTGGTTTGGCCTGAAATGCCTTCCTTTCTCCCTCTTCTCACCAGGGTTGTCAAGTGCGGTTCTGGTTCTCTCCTAAACCCCTTGAAGGTTGGATTTTAGTGGATTAGTGCATGACCCCACCTGGGTAATTAATAACAGTAATAATGGATAGTACATGCCCAGTTCCTATTGTGTGCCAAACAGTGTTCTAAGCGCTCTTCATGTTTTAACTGTTTAACGATTTAATCTTCCAATAAGACTACAAAGTTTGTAGATGAGGGTGCACAAGCATTGAACGATGAGAAACTCACCGATGTCGTGACTGGCCCAGGGCTTGGAGCAGGCAGTGGTGTTTAGCACCAGTGTTCACAAGCACCTGTCACACTGAGATCACATTTGGGTGGGCCCTTCTGGAGACAGCTCTCTAAGCAGCAAGTGATCTGTCCCTGACCAGCAGGGCACGGGCCTGCCAGGCCTTTGAAAGCCCACCTGCTTTGCCAGGGCCCAAGTGAGACAACCACAAAAGCTCCATTCTTCTGAGAAGTGGCTCGTGGGGGTGAAAGAGAGTCCCAAAGAGCAAGGGTCAAACAAAATAAGGAGGGACCCTGGGCATCTCTGGAGATCCCCTCAGAGCACTCAGTCTAAGGGAAACCAACTCCAACCATTTTCAGTTTCCAGAATCAAATTCTAGGCAGAGGTTTGATTGGCTGGGCATGGATCACGTGCTACCTCTGGGCCAGAGGAGGGCCGGCCCCGGGACTGACTGCCCGACAGACAGACGCGTCCAGCGAGGTAGGGGCAGATTGCGCACAGCCAAAGCGAGGAGCTCTGTGGGGAGAAGAGGGACATGTGTGGAGCAAGCAAAGTCACAGACATGTGTCCTGTGGCTCATGCCACCCACTGGGCTGAGGAAGAGGAGGTGGGGAGATGCACTCAACCATTGTCCTTCGTGAAAGATACAGCTAACACTCACGGAGCACCGACTCCATTCTCTAACAGCACTCACTGCAGCCCTCTGACATAGGTACTGCTGCCACCCCAGTTCTACAGAGGAGTCAGGAGACTGGGGTGCAGCGAAGTAGAGCCCTTGCCCGTGCCCACAGGGCCACAGTAGGCAGAGGCAAGATTTCAGCCCAAGCAGCCTGACGCGGGACCTTGGGAACCACGCTTGCCAAATGCGGAGGGCTCTACTCTCTCCTACCGTTGTCTTTTCAGTACTGGCAGCTTCTGCTTTCACCAGGGGCCAACTTAGACATAGCATTTGTGATGACTTTGGGACATCTTAATTAAGTTGTTTGAGAGTTAATTAAGTTGCTTGAGATCCCTCACACAGGCCCTCATGGCAGATTCCTCCCAGATCTGGGAGTCGTGCACTGGGAAGGCAGGAAAGCAAAGAGTGCAGGCCAGAGTCAGACTGCCTGGGCCCCTTCCCAGCTTCCCAGCTTACTGACAGTGTGGCCTTGGTAGTCACATAGCCTTCCCAAGCCTCAGTTTCCTCATCTGTAAAATGGGGATAGTAATGATACCTACCTCCTAAGGTTTTTGTGAGGGTTAAATTAGGAATGATATTTGTAAAGAGTATAGAGCAGTAAGGCACATACATAGGAAGCACTCGACCCACATTTAATTTCATTATCAACATAGTGCTTTCTTCAACCCTTGAGAACTGTTTCTCCCTCTGCATTACTTGTTAAGCATTTCAGAGATTTTTTTCTTTAGCATTCTTTGGCTATATTTTACACTCTTTTGATTTTATTTAATGATAAGAGCTTGTGGCTTTCCTATATTCTGTGCTTTCATTGTAAGCTACCTCTCTTTTTGGAACAGGTGACTAAATAAATATGTGTACCCCTGTGTTTGTATCTACACACAGACACACAAAGGCCTTCCAAAAGGACTCACTGAAACTCCATCCCCCTTCTCAGTCTGGCTTCTGAAGCCCCTGTTCTAGTGAGGTCTCAGCGCCACTCATAGCAAAGTGAAATGCCACTGAGAAATCCTTTAAACTTACTTTTCTCCAAATGGTGCCTTTCACTCAGTCCTGTGGTTTGGGTTTCAGGAACTTTGCTGCCACGATCCCCCGGCCCTTCTCGGTTCGTTATGACCCATACACCCAAAGGATTGAGGTCCTGGACAATGTCCAGCAGCTTACGATTTTGGCCGACTCCATCAACGGTAAGTAACTTATACCCTATGAAACCACTCTCATTTGTAGTAATAGAGGCACAAGAAGAAATTTATTAAATAGTGCATTAAGGAGAACAGCATTTCCATGCAAGCCATGGGTTCATTGAGGATGAGGAATTTTGCAAAAATGCCAGAAATGCCCGACTGTCTTTTTCCCGTTGACCTTCCTAGATTCCACCCCACCTCCTACCCCCAAACCATATTTCCAACCCTGGACTGTCCCTGCCATGCTGCTTTTTCTCCTTTGCTTCTCCATCCCAGTTGGTATCATTCTGCCTGGTTCCATCTACTTTGTCAACCATCCAGCAGCTCATCTGTTGGCCTTCCACTCTTCCTTGATAATGAGGATATTACAAGTTTTTCTTAAATCACCTTATTCATCACCCGATTCTCTCTCTAGCCCGTCATACTCCCTTCCAGCAATGCTGGTTGATTTTTAGTTCCTGTGCTCTCTCCTGGCTCCCAGCCTGTGCCCATGCAGTTCTTCGTGTTTAAAATACTCTCCTTCCCACTCCCATTTAGAGACACCCAACTACAGTTTATCTTTTAAGTCTTGCATAGGCATTTCTTCTTGTAGGAAGCTGAGTTTGGATGTTCCTCCTGTGTCTTTGCATTCCTACAGATTCCTCTGTCAGAGGACTTATTGCATTGTTATATAGTTGTTTACTTGTCAGTCTCCCCAACCAGACCTGAGCAATATGCTATGTCAGGTTCATTGTCAAATCCCCAGTACCTAGCCCTATTTCTAAATATTACATCAGGCACTCAAGAGCTGATGAAAGAAAGGATTAAACTTCCAAAGGGGGGAGGCCAAAGGGAGAAACTCTAGGTGAAGTGGGGCACCCTGCCTGATGCAATGCCAATGAAGGCCACAAGGGTAGATAGGCTTGAAGTGATCCTCTAATATCCTTGGGGCCACTTCTAATACAGAAGACCAGAGCTGGCCCTGACCATGATAGTCATTCCCCATTAGGTGTGGACACCTGTGATCAGCCATGTTGAAAAAGTCCAGGGCTGATTCCATCTTAGACACTCAGCTGGAGTAGATTTGTTCACTGAAGAAGCCAGCCAAATGCTCCAGAAGTTAGGATATAAGACAGAGAAGTGAGGCCATAGCTGTTTTTCCTCTCCTTCTCATCCCTAAAAAGGCAAAAATAACTCCATATGCTATTATGGGAGTTTTTAAAGTCATGGAATAACAAATTTAGGAAACAAAGTGTCCTTAGAGCCATGTGACCTTATATAAGGCCTCATTGCCTCTCTACACTTCTGCTTCCTCAGGATATAGGAGGGAGTGAGACTCATCCATTTCCAAGACTTTTTCCACCTCTATGAAGAGTCTATGTCCCTGTGGCCCCCTTGGCATGTGAGAACATGGCATGAATGGAAGTGGCTGCATCGCACCTTCATCCTAGCCTCCTGGGCTGAGTTTATCTGCTTAAACCATGCATTCTGAAACCTCAGTGTGCATGAGGATCACTTGGAGAGCTAGTTAAAAATTAGCAGTGCTAAGCCATAGCCCCAGACTAAATTTACCAAATTTGTGGTAAGTCTCGGGAATTTGTAGACTTCAAGTGATTCTGACACCAGAGATTTGTGTGAACCATACTTTTAGGTTCAATTATTTAGTTTCTTGAAGCATCTGTTAGATAGTAATGTGAAAGAGAATCAGAGCAGCTAGTGATTTGCCTGGGTAGAAACCTGTTAAGTCCTTCTCTGGGAAATGGCCTATGGAAAGAGGAAGCTAATTGCATTAATAGCTCTAGCACTTCCTAAAACATGTCAATACCTATACCATCCACAAGTGCCCAAATCCTGTCTTCACAACTAGGCTGTAAACTCCTTGAAGGTTGGGGTGGCAACCAGCTTATTCATACAGCCAACTGGTCTCCTAGAGCTATGCACATTGTGGACACCTGAAGGGTGCTTGTTCTTTATATGAGTGGCTTATTTGGGTGGTGTTCTTTTGTAGGTGAAGTTGGAATTCTTTGCAGTGCCCTCCAGAAGATAAAGTGAAGCCGTGGGCAGAACTTGATCTGTCAACTGAGCGTCTGTTGGTGGGGATCAAACTGCTTCTTTCATCAGAAAAAGTCTGACAAGGACATGTTAATTTAAAATAACAGCCCTGAATCCTTTTGGAACAAGACAGAGAATCAACAAATAAATCAAAATAATCTGAAATGACAGTATATTAACACATACCCAAAAGCATAATGGTAGATCTTCGAGGTTCATCTTTGATTTAGAGAAGATAATTCCAGACTTGCAATTGAGTTAAATCAATAATCTGTCACATTTTATGATATCAATTAAAATTGAGACATGCTTCATTCAAGGTTCATATATGCTTTTGTTATTATTTGTCATAGAGAACTCATAAAAGAGTATATATGAGTAAATGTAAAAAAAAGAGACTGTCATTAGAATTGAATTATTGGGTTTAATATAAATCTTGACCTACAAGGTTCATCTTCTATTTGAATTAACTATGATTCCAGTTACTGCTTTGCTATTGTGTCTGTGTAGATCTCCTTTAGTTCAGGAGCCCATTAAAATAGTTACAAAAATTTTCTATAGCATTATATAGAAACATTTCTGTATTTTTTTTTTGTAATCACAAATACTGTTGTATAAGGTAATGGAACTCCCCACCTAATCCCCACAATTTCCAGTATCATTTTCCAGTTGATTGTCAAGTCTGTTTTAAGAGACATTTTCCATACAATTATGATGCAGCAGATGTTGACCAAAGGCCTGGTTGGTAGATGCTCAGTAAATATTCATTGAATAAATTAGTGATTATATTTTTTTAAAATAAAATTTACTGTAAAAGTGAGAAAAGTCCATTTCCATTTTTAAAAACACTAGATTTTACAAAGACACTAGAAAATAGATGCAGACATGAAAATTCAAATTTCAAAGCAATGAAACCTCAGACACATTGAGAATAAATTACTCTTCCCTCCCAGCGTATATTTAGGTAGTTCTTATGATACCCCATTAGTGGATCAGGGACAGCTATTTGAAGACACATATGAGCATTTGAATCATATGTCAAGACTAGAAAGGACCATAGTTTACATAGTTTAACTCCTTCATTGTTAGAGTGAAACTGAGGTCTAAAGAAGGGAAGTGATTTATCTATGTCAACGTCATTGGCAAGTGGCAGACTGTCAGAAGTTAAGTTTTTTTCAAACTTAAGGTACCCAGTATATTTGGCTGTGAATATAAAACTAATAACCTTGGGGTACCTAAAAATGCAGGTCTCGGGACCCATCCCCAGAGATTCTAATCAGGTAGAGCTGTGATGGTGCCTAGAATTTACTATTGATGATGCCACAGCTGGTCTGAGAACTACACTTGAAGAGACACTATGCAAATCCTTTAAGACTTAAAGGACTTTTCTCCTCTGACCTTCCCCTAGACACAAAACATTCTGCTAATGGGCTATTTTGATGTTTCATTATTTCACACTAAAAGTAAATTAGTTACTCTGGAACTTAAATATGAAATAGTAGTTTCGAATGACAGTGATTTTGGAACAGTGATTTTTATTCCTAGTAAAAATATTTTCATGTTGAAGGTAAAGTTTAGGGTTAAGCTGTGATTTTCACAGAAAGAAATTAAATTCTGAATGGAATATAATCTTTGCATTTTTAGTGATGTGCTACTCAGTTCTTAGCTCTTTTTATCTGGATATAAAAGCCCAGTCTACAGCAATGGGATACAGTACATTGTCAATATGTTATTATTATCATTTGTTTAATTTCTAGTAAATGAACAGTCTTTTGGAAACAATAGTAATGTTTTACTGATGGATGATCCTGCTGTGTACAATCAAAATAAATGCATATAAAAATTACAAGTGTCTAGCATTCATATTCAATAAGTTTCTGAAAATAGGAATTTAAATTTTAATTCTAGGTTTCCAAGTTATATAATTTGGTTGTGTTTATAAAAATCTACCAATAAAATGTTAGCTTTATAGAAACAGAAATTTTGACTTTATTTTCACTTCTGAAACCCTTAGCTCCTAGCATTTGTAGGAGTCTATCACCACTAAACCTTACAAGAAATGCTAAAGGGAGCTTTCCGAGCTGAAATGAAAGGACAACAATTAGTAACATGAAAACATATGAAAGTATAAAACACTTTCATATGAAAGAGATTGTAATGGTGATGTATAAATCACTTAGCATTTCTACTGTAAAGGTTAAAAGACAAAAACTATTAAAATAACTATAACTATCATAATTTATGGGATATATAATAAAAAGGATATAAATTGTGGTACCAAACACATAAAATGTGGGGAAGGAATTAAAGTATAGAATTTTTATACATAATTTAAATTAAGTTGCTATCAGCTTAAAATAGCCTGTATAAGATGTTTTATGCAAACTTCATGCTAACCACAAAACAAAATCATATAGTAGATAAAGACAAAGGATAAAGAGAAGGGAATCTAAGCATACACATATAGAAATTCATCAATTACAAAGGAAGGTAGGAAGAAATGAAAAAGGATCTACAAAATAACCAGAAAACAATTAATAAAATGTAGGTAGTAAGTCCTTACCTATCAATAATTATCTTGAATTTAAATGAATTAATTCTTCTATTAGAAGACATAGAGTGGCTGAATAGATAAAACACAAGACCCAACTATATGCACACAGAACAGCCTCCAGGGTAGATCATATGTTAGGCTGCAAGATAAGTCTTAACAAATTTAAGAAGATTGAAATTGTATCAAGTACCATTTCTGACCACAATGATATGAAATTATAAACCAATAATGGAGACATTTTGGACAATTCCCAAATATATAAAAATCAAACAACATGCTGCTAAACAACCAATGAGCCAAGTAAGAAATTACAGGAGAGATTTTGGAATATCTTGAGACAAATGAAAATGGAAACACAACATATGAAAACTTAAGACATAAAACAAAAGCAGTTCTAAGGGAGAAATTTACAGCAACGAATGCCTACATTAAAAAAGAATAAAAGATCTTAAGTAAACAAACTAAGGTTACATCTCAAGGAACTAGAAAAAGAAGAATAAACTAAGCCCAAAGTTAGTATAAGGAAGGAAATAAACATGAGAGCAGAAATGAATGAAATAAAGACTCGAAAAGCAATAGAAAAGACTACAAAGCTAAGAGCTGTTTTTTTTTTAAAAGGTAAACAACATTGACAAACTTTTAGTTAGACTGAAAACAGAAGACTCAAAGAAATAAAATCAAAAATAAAACAAGACATATTACAACTGATACCACAGAAATACAAAGAATCATAAGAGACTACCAAGAAAAATTATATACCAACAAACTAGATAACCTAGAAGAAATGGATAAATTTCTGGAAACATACAATCTACCAATACTAAAGCATAAAGAAAAAAATCTAAGCAGACAAATTTACAAGAGATTGAATTAATAATAAAAAGTCCCCCATCAAAGAAAATTCCTGGACTTGACAGCTTCATTGCAGAAGTCTACCAAATATTTAAACAAAAACTAATAACAATCTTTTTCAAATTCTTCCAAAAATTGGAGAGGAGGGAATACTTCCAAACTCACTCACCAGGCCAGAATAACCCTGATATCAAAGCCAGACAGACAGCGTAAGAAAATAAAACTACATGCCAATATTCCTGATGAACATAGATGTAAAAGTCCTCACCAAAATAATAGCAAACTGAATTCAACAGCATATTAAAAGGATCATTCACCATGTCTGATTGGATTTATTTCAGGCATGCAAGGACGGTTCAACATATGTAAAGCAATACATTTTATATACTATCTCAACAGAATGAAGGACAACAACCACATGATCATCTCAATATATGTAGAAAAAGGCATTTGACTAAATTTGACATCCTGTAATGATAAAAACTCTCAACAGATTAGGTGTAAAAGAAATACACTTCAACACAATCAAGGGCATCACAAGCCTACAGCTAACTTCATACTCAGTGGTAAAAAGTTGAAAAATCTTTCTCTAAATCAGGAACAAGGCAAAGATGCTCACTCTTGTCACTTTTATTCAGCATAGTACTGAAAGTTATAAACACAGAAATTAGTCAAGAGAAAGAAATAAGAAGCATCCAAATTAGAAAACAATAAGGAAAATTCTTATATAGAGAAAATACTAAAGACTGCAACAAAAAACTCTTAGAACTAAAAAACAAATTCATTAAAGTTGCAGGATACAAAATCAACAAACAAAAATCAGTAGCATTTCTACACACTAACAATAAACTATCAACAAAAAGCTTTTAAAAATCCCATTTACAATAGCATCAAAAATTTAAAATACTTAGGAATAAATTTAACCAAGAAAGTGAAAGATCTATACCCTCAACACTATAAAACATTAGTGAAAGAAATCAAAGAAGACACAAATAAATGGAAAGATATCCCATGTTTGTGGATTGGTAGAAATAATATTGTTTAAATGTCTGTATAATTAAAAACAATTTATAGATTCAATGAAATCCCTATCAAAATTCCACTGATATTTTTATAGACACAAAGAAATAACCCCCAAATTTCTATGGAACCAAAAAAGACTCAAAATGGCCAAAATTGTGGCCCTTGGGTTTCTTTGAGAAGTCACTGATTTTTTTTTATTTTAGTGTATTATGGGGGTACAAGTGTTATGGTTATGTATATTGCTCATGCCCCCTCTCCCCACTTGAGTCAGAGCCTCAAGTGTGACCATCCCCCAAACATTGCACATCTCATTCATTGTGTTTGTATATACCCATTCCCTCCTCCCCCCTCCCACCTGCCTGATAGCTAATAAGTGTTATTCCTATATGTCCACTGAGGTGTTGATCCATTAATACCAATTTGCTGGCAAGTACATATGGTGCTTGTTTTTCCATTCTTGAGATATTTCACTTAGTAGAATGGGTTCCAGCTTTATCCAGGAAAATACAAGAGGTGCTATATCACCATTGTTTCTTAAAGCTGTATAGTACTCCATGGTATATTATTAATCCACTCGTGAATTGATGAACACTTGGGTTGTTTCCACAACTTTGCAATTGTGAATTGTGCTGCTATAAACATTCGAGTGCAGGTGTCTTTTTCATAAAGTAACTTTTGATCTTTTGGGTAGATGCCCAGTAGAGGAATAGCTGGATCAAATGGTAGAACTACTTGTATCACTTTAAGGTATCTCCATACTGCTTTCCACAGAGGTTGTACTAGTTTGCAGTCCCACCAGCAGTGTAGGAGTGTTCTTCTCTCTCCGCATCCACGCCAATGTTTATCATTTGGGGACTTTTTGATAAAGGCCATTCTCACTGGAGTTAAGTGATATCTCATTGTGGTTTTGATTTGCATTTCCCTGATGATTAGAGAGAGAAGTCACTGATTTTATCACTATCCTCCTACATTCCTCTCAGAGGCCCCAAGATAGGGCTCAGTTGAGGACTTCACCAGTGAAGGCACAGAGTGGCTGGCTCATTCACCAAGCACCCATGCTACTGTATATTGGAGAACACATTTTAAATTTGTTTGTTACAGAGCTTTCAGCCATCAACACCACCCAAAAGCAGAGAATTCATCTGGAAAAGCTGCTCTGCTTGCCAAGGGTAACTGTTGGTCTAGAAAGTCTTTCCAGCTCCTGCAGTGCCCAAATACGCCTCCTGTTCACCCACCTTGAGTCTGTGAAGCTAGATGAGCTCCATTTCATTGGCCTAACAAAATAAATAAAATTTTGGAGTGGGGAAGGAGGAAGCAGAACCTTTCCCAAACTTTTCATTCCCAGAATGTCTTTGGGAAAGCTAAGGAGGCAGGAGGCTCTCTCAACACTCACTTTTGGGAAAAACATCTACTACTCATTTCCTGGAATTACTTGGTAGAGAATTTATAACTGTGAAGTGCCTCCTAAGACAAGGCACCTGAAGCTGGGATGAAAGGAGAGAGAACCAGACTACCTGTGCTTTCTAGAGTGGAGATTCTCAGCACCGAGGACAGCACCCATGGCTGGTACTTACGGTATTAAACTCAGGGAAGGGTGAGCCTGAAGGCCTATCTTTTGTGGGGCAAGAGTCAGAAGGAGGAAAGAGAGTGAGTTAGTACAGAGACTGGAAAACAAGACGATGGCAATTATCTTGCTCACAGCAGACTTTGAATGACGTTTGGCTGAATAGAGGAAGACAGAATGGAAAAGTGTGACATTCATCCCCTCAATGACAATGTCTGACATCTTTTTTATACAGAAAAAAACCAGGTGCCATTTTTTATAGCAGTACATGCTTATGTGTTACTATTTGAGATTGGAAGATGTAGCATCTTGCAGCAGACTGCTCTGGTGATTACAATTCGAATGCCAGTTTTCCTTAATGTGAACCTGCTTGGACCACAGAATCTTAATCTCCCTGAGTCTCATTTTTTTATCTGTAAAATGGAGAAGATGCATGCCTACCTTATAAGACTGTTACAAATATCAAATACACTTTGTGTGTATAAAAGCCCCTCAATCATTTTTAATAGCATTTAACACTTTTAAATATTTATTGTTCTGATATAAAGTACAAATAAGCTCCCCAAAGAATTGTTTATTATTACTCAGGTCATCTTGGTCTAGCAACATGATCCCAATTGACCACTCTGTCCAAAGAGATGACAGAATGATAGTTATGGAGAAGCTTCCATTTGAGAAAAGAGTTTTGACTAAAGCAGAATTAAAATTTTTCAGCACAATATATGTGTGTGTATACACATGCACAAAAAATATATGTGGTATGAGCAATAAAATAATAAAATCTGCATCAACTTGAAGCTAAAGCTATATCTTGAAAAAGGCAACTCTACAGATTGAAATAAAA